AGGAACTAATGAGTGGAGACAGAGAAAAACGAGTTTAGCCTTGTGGTAATAGCGTCTACTGGAAAGAGTCGGCCATTGCAGCTGATCTATTGCTTCAGATGACCGAGAGCAACGTGTAATAATCCGTGCAGATCTATTTTGTAAGCGCTGTAGTCGATCTATATCTTGTTGTAAAAGGTTACTCCAGGCAATGTCACAGTAATCAAATAAGGGAAGAATTAAGGTATTATGAACAAGTATTGCTGCCTCTTTTGTGACGAAACTTCTAATGCGGCCCAGAATACTAACTCTTGACGCCACCTTTTTACACATATAGTCTGCGTGAGCCTTCCAAGTCATAAAATTGTCGAACACCACGCCTAGGTATTTAAAAGTAGTTTCGCAAGAAATGAGCTTTCCGATAAGATTAAGATTTAAAATACAATCGCGCTCTTTATGCCTTCGAGATGTAAATAGTACACACTTAGTTTTTGAAACATTGAGAACAAGATTGTTGTCTTCTAGCCATTCAGATAGACATTGAAGATCTTGATTAAAGTAAAAAGTTAAATTGTCTACTGTTGGGCCAGCAAGATATAAAACTGTGTCGTCAGCGTACATATTTACAGAACAGTGTTTGACACAACGTGGTAAATCATTAATGTAGACAATGAATAACAGGGGTCCGAGGATGGACCCTTGTGGCACTCCAGAAGTTATAGCAAGCTCTTCAGATGAATGAGAATCAATTTGCACGAACTGCTTTCTTCCCGTAAAGTAGTCCTTAAACCATAGAAGGCTTTCCTCGCATATACCATAGTACTCTAATTTTCTGAGCAAAATGTCATGGTCAACTGTGTCGAAAGCCTTTGCCAGGTCAATAAACACAGGCTTAAGGATTAAGCAAAAGGCTTAAGGATTAAGCCTTTTCCAGGTCAATGGAAAGACCTGGAAAAGGTTTAAGGATTTCCACTTGTCAATTGGTCGTGACAAGTGGAAATCCTTGATTGGTCCAACGGCCTCCTTACAGCAGAACTGCAATATGGAGGAGTTTAATGCTGTGGTAAACGAGGGAGGTTCCAAAGCAAGAATTGGCATAATCAACAACAACGAAAACGATTGTAACAGCTATAATCCAGAATTGGCTTTGGTACAGGTGGACACGACGACGACTCGAACACGTGTGGAAACGAGGCAATGAATCACGAATCGTCAGATAATGGAGGCAAACACATCAAAACCATGGGATATATTTTAGTCCACTGACAGTGACAGCTCTCTTTTAGGAGCTAAATATTTTAATCCGTTCTTGGAAGACCCTGATACTTATCAAATTCTTCTCAACTCTGCCCTTGATCGAGACATCAATATGCTCTCATCAACTTCTAACTTACTCTCAAGATATACTTATATGAATAGTAGACAGTTAAATAATCCTTTCTCTGACTCCTCTAAATCTAACTGCTTCTCATTATTTCACTTGAAAATACGCAGCTTTAAAAAACATTTTATTGACCTTGAGGAAGACCTCTCTACCCTAAATATATCTTTCTCTACTATCGGTCTCTCTGAAACATGGCTAGTCACCACTTCTAATGACTTGTAGGGTATCCCTGGTTACCATTACATTTCTAAACCTCGATCTTCTTGATTAGGAGGTGGTGTTGGTATATTCCTATGTAATACTAATGAATTCAAGAGAAAGTGTGACCTTGAATCTACGAATTGTCTTGAATCTGTTTTTAGTGAAATTGTCAAACCAAACCATGGAAAAAAAATTGATTTTTGGCTGTTTATACAAACCCCGTAACATTCAGATTGAAATCTCTAATGATGAAATTAAACAAGTCCGTGCTAAAATTGGATTTGAGGGTGGAAAATTATGTTTCATTTTTGGTGACTTTAACATCAATATTCTTAATGCTGATTCACATGTCCCTACTAACAATTTGTTCTTAACTCTACTGTCATCAATATCTCACTAGGCAAAAAGATAACTTACATCTTCATACTCACAAATATTCTTTCTCTCTTCGAGTACAGGGTCCTCAAATTTGGAATGGCAGTCCTCTCTCACCTCGTAATTCACTTACTATTTCTAGTTATAAACGTAAACTGAGAGTTCATTTTCAATCACTATAAGATTAAACTAAGTTGAACTCAAATTTAAATTTATTTTTGCTATTATTACTTTCTGCACACTACCATTATTTATGTTTATTTTGCTTTGTATGCAGTCATTATTTTTTATATGTTGTAACTGTTTGCCTTTTCTCCGTAAATCCTGTATTTACTGTTATATATTTTTATAGATATATATATTTCTTTTTATTTCATCACTGTAATTTAGTAGCAGATTGTAACTCTCTGACCTATGCCATTTAAGCCTCTGGCTTTGGCATCTCATTATCGTTAACTTGTGCATAATTATTGTTCGACGTCACAATGGGGAGCTACGACGGTGCCGAAATATGCGAACTCGTAGGTCTTTTCATCCTCGACACCCTCAGCAAGCCAAGACCGCAAGTGCAACTGCAGAGTAAAACAAGCCTGCACCTAAGAGAACAACTGCCTTGCTTCCTCCTTAATTTACAAGGCTAAAGTCACTACAAACAAAGACCAAACGGGCAAAAACTACATCGGCCTAACAGAAAAATATTTTAAACAAAGATACACACAGCATTCCCTCTCATTCCGAAACAAGGCCTACGCTAACAGCACCGAGCTATCCAAATACATTTGGGAACTTAAGAGCACCAACACTCCATTCTTCATTCATTGGTCGACAATCAACAAAGCTGCATCTTACAAAGGAAATTCAAGAACATGCAACCTCTGCCTTGCCGAAACATTGGTCATAATCACTGCGGACAAATCCACTTTATTAAAGAAACGATCAGAACTCATTTCCAAGTGGCACCATGAAAACAAGTTCTACTTGCGAAACCAATAGAAACAGTCCTTTTGTC